ACAATGGAGTTCTACTCAGTGGTAAAGGAATATGAAATCATGAAATTTACAGGTAAATGGATGAAACTAGAAACTGTTCTATTAAGTGAAGTAACACAGACTCAGAAAAACAAACAATGTATGGTCTCCCTCATATGTGGATCCTAGCATGAAATCCTTATAAGTGAGTATGTATCCAGACATAACTACAGGAACCAGAATAATAAAAAGGAACCAGGGAGGTAAAGGGAAAAAAAGAACCAAAGAGAGAACAGTAGGAAACAGGTGTTACTAAAGGAGAAATGGATAAAAATGGGGTTATTTAAATGGGAGGGAGGAGGGAAGGTTATACAAGGAAACTTGGGGATAAAAGGAAAGAAGGAGGTCAAGAGAGGTGGGACCATAGGTGACAGGTACCATCAAGGGAGAAATGGAGAGAATAGGGACACTTCAAATGAGGAAACCATGGTGGAAGGGTTAGGCAATGAGAGGGGGAGGGGAGAGAGAAATAATGCCTAACTAGTCTTAAATCTTTATTATATATAAAGTGTCCATAACTGTTTCCTGCAACTGAATAGAGACTCATACAATGATTAGCAATAACATAAAAGCTTCCCAAACTAATCTACATAACCAATCCAAAAGATAAAAATAATTGAACAAGCCTTACAATGTATAGAATTGTCTGTGGAGGCTGGAGAGATAGCTCAGTGGTTAAAAGCACTGTCTGCTCTTGCAGAGGACCCAGGTTGAATTCCCAGCACCCACATGGCAGCTAACACCCGTCCATAACTCCAGTTCCAGGGAATCCGACACCTTCTTCTGACATCCGCAGGCACTGCACAACATGAGTACACTTACACACATGCAAGCAATACACTCATATGCATAAAATAAAAATAATAAATAAAATATTTTTTAAAAGATTGTCTGTTAATATATCAACTTAATAAAGAAAAAAGGGGACTCATCTTAACAACCACTGAGGACTTTTAATTTGTGTATCAATGATACATTATTATATATTAATAACTGTTGATGGTGGTGATGGGTTTATGGGTACTTTATGCATCTTGAATTTTCTGTAATAATGCAAAAAAAGAATACTCAGTCCAGAATTAAAAAGGAGTAAGGATTAGAATGATAAGTTTGTGGGCCATTACAGTAAAGATATTTAAGGCCAGGTGTTGGGATGCATACCTGCAGTCCCAGCACTCTGGAGATCAAGGCTAGAAGCTGGGAAATTTTGGGGCCAACTTAGATTACATAACAAGGCCTAGTCACACACATACACACACCCCAGAACAACCTATGTGCCCCTTCGTGAGTTTATGTGCACCATGTACACACAGGAGCCCACAGAAGCAAGAAGGTGTCAGATCCCCTGGAATTGGAGCTAGAGGTAGTTGTGAGCTGCTGTGTGAGTATAGGAACTGAATCCAGGTCCTCTGGAGGAGCAAGAAGTGCCCTTAACCACCAAGCCACCTCTGCAGACCCAAAGGAAGGATATTAAAACCAATGGATTTGGATGATACTATGTAGAGACAAAGAAAGAGAAAAAAAAAAAAACACAAAAGTGAGCAACTCAGTATCTAGAAGCAAAGGGTAAAGCAAACCAAGATACACTGAGGAAATACTAGCAAAGCTAAGAGGAAACCCAGGAAAGTGAGATATTTTGGAACCTTGGAAGAGAAAATGTACTATAAGTGTGGAAGTCTTTAAGTACAGCAAAGAACTGCTGAAAGACTATGAGAAACAGGACTTACTGTTCGGATGGCTCAAATTGGAGATTTAGACCAGCTTGGAGAAGTTCTGTAAGGGGAAGTAGAGAATTAAATAGCAGCTGGAGGCGCACACATGTCAAAGGCGGCATTTTTTTTTGTCCTCTTTTAAAGCCTAGTATTAAAGCATACTATTATACTAGTAGAATGATGTAAGTGAAAATAGGGAACAGAAATACAGGAGACAGTACAGAATCAGGACCCTGAATAAAGTACACCAACGTATGAGAGCAGGGAAGGCTCTTTCACGTATGGCAAGAGCGAAGGCAATGTTGACAAGCTCTGATACATATAATGGACAGACTCAGAGGAAGGAAAACAAGGCGGGCTGCATCTATGTGCACATCTTAGCTCTCTAAGCCTCAGTTCCTTCACTTGTAAAATGGAAGTACTGACCTCAGAAGGTATCTGTGAGAACTGAGCAAGGTGGTACATGTCTGTAATGCCAGCACTCAGGAGGCTGAGGCAGGTGGATCACAAGTTTGAGGCCAGCCTAGGTGTTCTATAGTGAGTTCCAGATCAGCGTAGACTACAAAACAAAGACTGTGCCAAAAACAAAACAAAAAAATCCCTGGTTGAAGTCTCAGGAAAGGAAATCTCATGCTCCTGGAGATGGCCTGGTATCAGAGTCACACCTCCCACTTTCCCAAGCTGCCCTGCAGCTACCTGTCCTTCAAGTGCAGGAACTGGAATAGAAGCTAATGTGACTATCCCAATCTGGCAAAATAAGCCACACAGGGCTGCTCAAAGTGTAGTCAGAAGAATTAGGAGCAACCTACTGCTGAAATCATGGCCCTTAAGAAATAAGCTTAATGTAAATATTTGGCTTCCTCTGAAGTCAAGTTCATGTCAGAGATGACAACAACTCATGGACTTTGATTAGACCATAAACTATAAAGCAAGGAAAACAAACAGGGTTCCTCTGTCTTGCATTCTCTGTTGACTGAGGCCAACCTGAGTGCTGAGGAAGTAGTTTGTCCACTGTTCAAGTTGAGCACTAAAGAGTGGGAGTCAATTATTCACATTAGCTGAAGACATTGGGAGCACATGGACACAGCATTCCTCAGCTAAGATTGCAATGTAGGCGCTATTGAGGAGAGCAATTTTTAAATATATATATTTTATGTTTGTGAGTATATTGCCTGCATGTATGTACATGCATCCATGTTGTGTAATGCCTGAGGAAGTCAGAAAAGGTCATTGGATCCTCTGGAACTGGAGTTAACGGACAGTTGTTAGCCACTATGTGGGACGTGGGAACCAAACCCGGGTCCTCTGCAAGAGCAGTCAGCACTCTTAACCACTGAGCCTTCTCTCCAGCCTCCAAGAACAGGGTTTTTTTTTTTTTTTAATCCCTACAGTTATTTTTGAAAAGAGTGGTATATAAATATTAGCAAAATCCAAAGTCCTGAGGCTTACAAAACAGGCACAAGCAGTGAGAGTCAAACATTTTCTTCTCTTACAATTAGGAAATCTTGGTGATTTTTCAAGATAGTATAGATCCTCAAATTACAAAGGAACAAGGGAAAATAAAACAAGTCACATTTCCTGAAAATGAGTATTAAAGGGATCGGCTTACATATGGAGAGTTTTATTTTAAAATGCAGAAAACATTATGGTTAGGAAGTTTCACATGTGCTCAGTATAATATGCAGGAGTAAAATACACGTTTCTTTTAAAAGGAGTATTTCTACACCTTTCACATGTAATACACAGTTATGTATTTTACATATTTTCTGTAGCACTGTATACTGTTGGCATGCTTATTTGAATTATTATTAGGCTGGAGAACCACATAACCTAGACTACAAACACTACTATACTAAATTTGCCTCACTGGATAACAAAAAGAACAGTTTTTTGTTGTTTTTTGGGGGGGTCTTTTTTTGAGGCAGGGTCTCCCTGTAGCCCCAGCTGGCCTGAAACTCACTTTGTAGACCAGGCTGGCCTTGAACTCACTGAGATCCACCTGCCTCTGCCTCCCAAGCACTGGGATTAAAGGCATGCATCACCATGCCTTTTGTTGTTTTAAGAAAAGAACTGCTACAATTATTCTGCAGAGCAATCCAGCTGTTCTTCCTGGTTCACACCTCATTGTTATAACTTTTTTGTAAAAAGCAGTCAATGACAAAAAATTTGATTTTAACTGGAGGTGTCTGCAGTCTTCTGGCTAAATTGTATTTTCTCTAAAAATTCTAACATTGTCACTTTTGAATTAGAAAAAAAATTCATAAAGACTGCAAGAAGGCTTGACTGCATAGCATTTTAACTTAAAATGCCATTTTCATATAGGTGATTTTAAGATTGTCTTTAAAAATCTATCTGGGTTTAGTAGATCACCACTGTAATTCTTGCACTGGGAATGCTAAAACAGGAGGACTGTTGAGTTTGAGGCTAACTTGGGCTCAACTTGAGCTGAGTTTCAGACTAGCCAGAGCTACCTGTCAAGATCCTTCTTCAAAACAACCATCACCAAACAACAAAACAACGAAACACAATCACACACACACACACACACACACACACACACACACACACACCTTGTCCTAGAGCTTAGCAAATTTTAACTCACATTCCCGCTTTGAACATCTCCACACCAAGCGCAAATTCGTCTTTGAATTACTCAAGAAAAAATAGTTTGTCCATTGTGAATAGCTCATGGTCACGCTAATTCGATATTGAGTCAACTTTTTGCTTATTAGAAAAATATGCGCAGGTAGTTCGTAGAGTATGAGGTGTAATGAATTAGCTGAAACACACATAACTCTGTCTCACCCCTGAACGCATACAACTGTTCTGAGAGGTGGAGCTCCGGGGATGCTTTCTGAACACACTTTATAGAAATTCTGAATCACGATCTCAGCATCTCCCAAGTCCTTGGAAAGCAACCTTAGCTTCGCTGGTTTTGACAGTTCTCTGAAGGGCACAGGTGCAGGAGTCGACACCTGCAGCTAGGTGAACGCCCTCAGTCCTTTGCAGAAGCAAAGGAGAGTAAGGAACTTGGGGCTCAGGGTCAGGGGGACACAGAACAGGTTTATTTAACCTCAGCTCTGCAGAGAACTTCCCAATCTGGGCCCTCCTTGGCCTTCCCCAGGACTCCGGGCAGCGTACGCTTGCCCATGGGTCTTCCAGGAAGCAGCCACCAGGCGAGCAGGAGGAACCAGCACCGGGTGGGACGAGCACTCCCGCAGAGACACGCGACTGCGCCTGCGCAGCGGGACGAAGTCGGTTTCCTGACTTCTGGAGGAAGTGGAGGCGCGTCACTTCCGGCCTCCCTCTAGCTGCCATCTTGCGTCCCCGCGTGTGTGCGCCTAATCTCAGCTGGTCTGGCCCAGACCCCCTGAGCTGGAACCCTAGTTCTCCGCGCGGCCCCGTTTCGGCTCCGACAAGGTACAAAAAGGCTGTGGATGCCGGCGTGGGAGGAGGACGGGAGCAGGGTGGGAAGTGCCCGGAAAGAGCCAGACGGGGAGGGATGGGGCTGAGCGAGGAAGGCGATGCGACGGACAGGCACCCCCACTCAAGCCGACTCTTGGGGGCGAAGCCGAGCCAGGGGTGGCTGCCCCGGGGACGAGGCGACGCCGTCTCTTCCTCCACTTCTCGGCGGAACCCGAGAACAGGAGCCTCAGGTACCGCGAGGCTTGTGGAGAGGGGCCGGGGAGGCCCTGGCTAGGCCGAGGCGAGGCCTGGGCCAGGCCCGGCTGGGACCGCGGGTAATGGGGAGCCCCAAGGCTGGGCCTGAGGGGAAGGGCGAGGAGGCGGGGGCCGCTGGGGGCTCCTCGGAGCCGACCTTGGGAGCTGCGCTGAGTGAATTGGGGCCCCATGTTTCGGCCTGCAAGACGAAGTTCTGCTGGTGTCCTGGGAAATAACGAGCGTGGAATGACGGGGTGAGCCCGAGCGTTCCTTGCTGAGGATCTCCTTTTTCCTAGATGAAAGAAACTATCATGAACCAGGAAAAACTCGCCAAACTGCAGGCACAAGTGCGCATTGGTGGGAAAGTAAGTTTTATTTTAATGTTTAAATAATTACGTTTGTCGAGGGAAATTCGCAGAGGTAGCAAACCAGGGGAAGTGGAGATCAGACACAGATACACCTGGGAGAGACTTGGAGGCTGTGTACTGAAAGGGAGAGAAAAGTACGAGTTGAAGAAAACACTTTAAAAGCGTTGCATTTTTTTGTACATTTTTCAATGTTACAGTGTACACAGGGAACAGAAATTTTTTAGTTTTATTAGTAAGAAAATCTTGGCCTTTCTGTTAGATCTTTGCACACTATCCCCCGACTTCTATATATAAAGTTGGAGCTTATTTTCTATTTTTCTCTTGTTTAGCTGTGCTGGAATCCAACACAGTTTCTAAAATACGCTAAGCAAGCCCTCTACCGCTGAGCTCCCACCCCTCAACCCTTTTTCTTAATGACTAAACTGAAATTATCAGCTTTTCCTGTTCTACTTAATGGCTAGATGCTTAGCTTCCTGTAATTAAGACCTTTCGGAACTAAATGCTCTGTAGGCTAATCTTATATTTTCCAAGGATACTTGATACCTTTATTGGCATATTTTGGGGGTTTAAGAGCAGTCGATGTTAGATTGGAAAGTAGACAGAAGTCTTTTCTTCTAGTTTTCTAATTATGCTACAACTGGGAGAATAAAGATGTTTGGCTAATTTTTTTTTTCTGGTTGGTACTGGTCCTCTTCATGAGGATTCTCTGTTGGTGTTTAGGGTCTCTAATTTACTTTAATCTGAAGTCTACTCTAGACAGCGATCTTCCTAGTTTTATATATATTGTGTTAGCACATTCCTAGTGTTTAACAAGGTGTGGCAGCTTTTTGAAACGGAGCTTGCCTTTACTTGGTAAAACTTGCAGAGCTTCCATAGTACAAGTTGATTGCCCATTAAATTGTCCTGATTTTAAGCATTTACCTTGAGTTTGATTAGAGTCTACTGTGAGGTAGCCAAAAGATGTACATAGATCAAACAAGATGCAGCTCTGCCAAGTTGGTTAGTGGGCTTAGCCAACAATTAATATTCTAATTTTTCTTTTGCTGACAATAGTATTCAATGGCCATATTCACAATATTAGCATTAGGTGTTTCTTGTCCTTTTTAACAATTATTATGTTCTTTTTTTTTTTTCTCCTTTCAGTATGATTTCAGGAGTAATGTGCTTGTATGGAAGCTTGTTCCTCTAATAATTGGGCTTTTTTTGAGTGGCATCAACTGCCCCTCAAAGGGTAAAGGAGAGGCTTCAGGTTTTTTAAATCTGAAATAGGCTAAGACTTTGTTTCTTAACTTGTTTAGCTAATAAAGTATTTCTGTGTCATTGTGATTTGGGAACATTTTTGCTGTACCTTTTAAGAAACCTGCTTACAGTGAGTTTTTCCTTAGAGAAAACGGCAAGTGCTAGATTTACATGCTTTTAGGTGAATGTTATGAAAGTCCTCTTTCAGTATCTAATCAAGCAACTGAAAATTAAGTAAAATGAATGCTCCATTGTTTTGGAAATGTATGAAAACCTATACATGATAACCCATGTTTTTTGAATCTTTGGAAATCAGATGTCTTCATGACTACTTCACAGTGATTCTTACTCTTAAAAGTTTGGGGGGAGGAGAGTAGATTTGGTAACCAATGTATGTTAACATGTAAAAATCTGGTTTTCTTCAGTTGAACTATGATTTGTTTAGGCCTTTGATGTGTTTAATCTTGAAAGTGTAAGTTTAAGAAGCATAAAGTCCAAGAGTGAGGCACTTAGGCCTAATATAGGAGGCAGTCATCATTTTAAAAAGGAATATATTTAGTGTAGTAAGTCTTCACAACTTAGAAATGGGAATGATTTAGCATGCTGTGGGGTTAGTCGCAGTGTTTAGGGAAGGCATAGATCAGGTAATGGCTTGAATGAGGTTTTGAAAGATGAGTAAGAATTGGAATAGCGGTTGGGGAACTGTGAGAGGTAGTTGGTTGACTAACTTTTCCTTAAGTATCTTCATTAAGCAAAATTGAAGCCTGCAAGGACCTTGTGCAAAGAGACAGTGTAAAATATGTCAACTCTTAAACTGATAAGTGTTCTGAAGGAAAGTAAGCTAGGCTAGAACATGAAAAGGGTAGAAGTTTGCTATTGGGGACATGAGAAATTTGCTGGGAAGGAGGGAGCTGAGCAGTGTGTGGAAGAGGGGAATAGTATGGGCAAACACAGTATGGTCATAGCCTGGGGCTCCTTTAAGAAGAAACAGGTTTACTTGACTGAGGAGATCTGATAAGGAGCAGCATAAATCATGTAGGGGCCCTACCCTGTATGTTAAAAACTTTAGATTTCTACTCTTTGGTGCAAAGATATTTATATACAGATTCATTTGGGTGTTTTGTATACTATTTCACCTGTGACCATTAAATTAGGGTGTTGGTTGTTCTCTGAAAGCTAAAGATTACTAATGGTGGACATGGCTTTTATAAATGAGGTTTAGTTAGGTTGACACATGCCATCTCTGATCACTTTTTGATTGAATAATTTAAAAGAATTTAAAATATTGGGACTTGTAAAAAGACCCTCTCCCTTTTGTATCTGACAAAACTAGAAGTTAAAGATTTGTAGGCAGTTCCTTTGCCTTGTTTTGCTTCCATCTTAACCTGCCTATTTAACTGCCTAGTTTATGGTTTGGGTAACTATATTTTTATTCATTTTTTTGAGACAGGATTACTATGAATCTCAGACTGCCTGCCCCTGCCTCCTGAGTGCTGGAGTTAAAGGCATGATCGATACATCACCATTCCCTGCCTGATAACTCTTTTACAGACCCAAAGATCAGAAAAAGGAAAAGATCTGTTGCTAGGTGTGAATATATCGTTTGTCATTTTTCTCCCCCATTAGGGAACTGCTCGTAGAAAGAAGAAGGTGGTTCATAGAACAGCTACAGCAGATGATAAAAAACTTCAGTTCTCCTTAAAGAAGTTAGGGGTAAACAATATCTCTGGTATTGAAGAGGTAAGTGGCTAGAAATGTATGCTTTAATCATACATTAATTAATTTTTTTGCCTCTGCTTTTAGCATTATAGTTCATGTTTCATTAAAGGCTCTAAGTTTCTAAGATGAATTTCTGCCCTAAAACTAACAAGTAGTCAGGGAAATTGCAGGGACATTTTCGACCTGCGCATCAAAGTAAAAGACTTAGTTAGCCAGATTGCAGTTTTTGTTTAATAAAAACATTCTTGATTTTTAAATGAGTCTTTGGTGATCATTAACTTAGTAATACAATTTTTTTTTCTTTTTAGGTGAATATGTTTACAAACCAAGGAACAGTGATTCACTTTAACAACCCTAAAGTTCAGGCATCTCTGGCAGCAAACACTTTCACCATTACAGGCCATGCTGAGACAAAGCAGCTGACAGAAATGCTTCCCAGCATCCTAAACCAGCTTGGTGCAGACAGTCTGACTAGTTTACGGAGACTGGCTGAAGCTCTGCCCAAACAATGTGAGTTACCTCGGAGTTATTTTACTTCACATATTTGTCTGGTTTCAGGCCCAGAATTCTGTAAATTTAGAAAGCAAACCAATTCTGAAAGGATAATAGATCTTTAACTGATTTTTAAGCAAATGTTCTTGTTTACAGTAATTTGTCCAGTTTTTGTGTGTTTTGTTTTGTTTTTGAGACAGGGTCTCCCTGTAGCCCCAGCTGGCCTGGATTTGCTATGGAGACCAGGCTGGCCTCGGACTCACAGAGATGCGCCTGCCTCTCCCCTCCCGAGTGCTGGGACTAAAGGCGTGCGCCACCATGCCTGCCCCGTTTTGTTTTTTTATGTGTATGAGTTTTGCCAGAAAGAAGCAAGCTTTGGATCCCCTGGAACTAGATGGTTGTTAGCTGCTGTGGGTCCTGGGTAAGAGAAGCCAATACTCTTAATCACTGAGCCATCTCTTTAGCCCCAGAAGTGTTGGCTATAGATACTTAATATTTGACTGTTTTGAACTACCGTTTGGTAGCATTTTGTTCTGAGTAGAAAGAGTATAAGTGCATCAGGTGGTGTGACAGCTTTGTTTTGAGGATTTATTGCTTAGAATTTGAAGACTAGGAATACAGAAGCAGGTAAAGAGGATTACTATGTGGCTGACTCACCCATTTGGTTAGATGCTCACTCTTCCTCACTCTATAGTTTTTTGAAATTACAGGGAGAATCATTAAGGGGTTTTAGGCCATTTGGGACCTTATGGGTGTCGGGGAGAGCGGGAGACAGAGTCCCCTGTAGACCAGGCTGGCCTCAGATCTACCTGCCTCTGCCTCCTCAGTGCTGGGATTAAAGGCATGCACCACCACACCCAGCCCCCAAATAGGCTTTTGAAGTTTCCTGCCGATACCCATACAGGGTTAGTACTGTGAGGTCACATTTTCCTGTTATAAAGGTGTGAGGGTCCATTCCTATAATCCAAGCTCACTGAAGAAGCTGAAGCAGGAGGGTCAAAAATTGAAAGCCTTAGACTCTGTCTCAAAATTTTAAGAATTTTTTTTAGTGAAGAAGCTAGGGATGAAGCTCAGTAGTAGAATATCTGCTAGGCCCTGGATTCAGTCTGCAGTATCACAAAAAGGAAAGTGGGAGGGGAAGAGGAAAGGTAGATGTTTACCATTGAAAGACACTTTAAATTTTGTTTTTCATGCTTTCTGAGACAGGGCTCCCTGTGTAGCCCTCACTGAACTGGAACCTGTGGCCATCTTCCTGCCTTGCATCTCTAGTGGTAGGAGTACTAGGTTGTGAGCCACTGCATCTGGCTTAACTTTTTGAATATTTTATTTCAGTGAATGTATATTGAGTGACCCTTATGCCATGAGCAAGTGGAGTTATTTGGGAAAATGGCCTTTTCATTTTGTCTCCCCAAATAAGCCTTAGCAAAACTTGGTGTATTGGTTTTACCTATACCCTGAGGACTCCCTTCTGTTCTCACTATATCCAAGGGGATTGAAATTGCTGACCTGTATTCTAGTTATTTGTGCCCATCTGAATATGCTGTTCTTAATGGTACTATAGGTGAAATTCCAAATGTCACTTGCCCTCATGAATGTAAATTGTAGTACTTAGTGTTTTATCTGTTCTTTTCATTGATGTTTATTGATCTAAAAAACTGTCAATTACGTTTTTGTTTCCCTTTCACAGCTGTGGATGGAAAGGCACCCCTTGCTACTGGAGAAGATGATGATGATGAAGTTCCAGGTATGAAGGTTATAGAGAACCTTATAGAGAACCTTGGCAAAGGAAAATAGTGAATCTTTATAGGAAAAAACTCCCTTGGGAAGGCTAATTGCTCAGGGTCAGGGATGTGAGGAAAAAAAGAGAGAGGCGTGGACCTCACTTAGGACCTACGTATAACTACAGGTTACAAATGACTCGTCATTTTTTAAGTGTTTTATTGAATTTTTGTGTATTTCATACATACAATCATCCTTATACCCCCCTTGACGCTTGTCATTTTTTTTTGTTTGCTCTTTGTTTCCTACTTTGAAAACCCATGAGTTTATGAAACGACATAGAGAAGTTTCAATACCCTGGTGTATATGATCATTCTAAAGATGGTAATCAGTTTTTCTCTTACATATTTTAACTGTTTTGAAGCAGTTGCACTGCTCAATATGCAGTTCATTATGAACTTGTAGCTCAAGCTGGCTTCAAACTTAAGAACTTCCTGCCTCGGCCTCTTGAGTGCAAGGATTACAGACAAGTGCCACCATGCCCAGCTAATTAATTTTTTTCTCTAAAATAAATGTACGCCACTTTGAATAGACATTGCCTCCAGGAACTCAAGAAAACCTCAGAATCATGTGGGTATGGTGGTGCATGCCTTTAATCCCAGCACTGAGGAATCAGAGGCAAGTGGATCCCAGGCCAGCCTGGTCTACAGGGAGACCCTGACTGGTCTCCCGCCCTCTCTCCCGTCCCCGTCCAAAGGGTCCAGAATGGTCGAAAACCTCTTAATGATTCTCCCTGTGGAACAAAAAACTACAGAGCGGGGAAGAGTGAGTGAGCTTTGGTTCTGTTCTCTCATATTGGTCAGTGGATTTGTAGAGAAAGGGTGCGGTGGGGTGGGTATACAAATTCTTTAAGCACAATGTTCACATCAAATTAATAGCTTTGGTACTTGTTACATGTCCAAATATAAACTTCTTGGTGTGCCAAAGGTATAGTGGTCTCATTGGAGATGACAAGTTTGCTTGAGAGTGTTTTCTTAGACCTGATACCTATTTGTAGAATTGGCTTTTTTCAGAATGTCCACCTTTCTCCTCATTCTTTTCTAGATCTTGTGGAGAATTTTGATGAGGCTTCTAAGAATGAGGCAAACTGAATTGAGTCAACTTCTGAAGAAGATAAAACTTGAAGAAGTTACTGGGAGCTGCTCTTTTATATTATGACTGCTTTTTAAAATTCTTTTGTTTATGGATCGGATAAACCTAGATCTAATATTTTTAAGTCTCAGCTCCCTGGACAATGCCGCTCTTTTCAGTTTTTGCTTATACACAATTAATTCTTTGCAGCAAATTAAGCTGAAGAAGAAGCCTGGGAATAAAGTTTGAAAAAAGTTAATAAAATTCTTTGCCTAGTATATGGTTTTATTATCTTTTTATTTTGCTGACACTGATCTGTACATACTAAGCAGAGTAGTTTATAGGAAACTAATCATGGTGTGTCTTGTGATTGATACCATTTGATGCAAACTAAAGATATAAATACAGTAGTGTGACAGTTGGTGTCGAAGTTCTCGTGTTTGAGAACTTCCTTCTCCAGCAGCCCTTAGGGCTCCATGGTTTATGTGAAACGTGAGACGAGTGTTACTGTGGGTAAACCAAGGACTATTTTTCTTGGTATACACAGATAGCAAGTACCTTTCATTCTGAGTCATTACCCCATTTGATGTGTGACTTAGGTTTTTGTGCTTTAAGTCTAGTTACCTTCTCCAGCACCTTTTGTACATTAACATACAGTAGAATTATGTGGGTAGCTGGAAGAATTGCACTGTAACTGTCAACCAATCAGGATGTTGGCCATCACCCTAGAAAATCCCTGAACTTTTAAAGAATTAGTAGCAGTGGTGCTGAAGCAGTTGCACGGCACCCAGTTCACAGATCAAAACTGATGATGTGTAATCTGCATCAAGGCCCATTAAAAGTGGTTTTTACTTTATTTTAAATGCCCCACAGTGTTTTGCAGTTGCCCTTTTAAGGTGCTGTACAGCTACAACCAAAAATAGCTGTTGTACCAAAAATAAAGTGGGGAAGATGGTATGTGCAGGGTCACAGTGTGTCATCTTCAAAGGATGCTTATATTGTTTCTTAAGGTAAATTTACCACCATAACTGAGATCCTAACGTCTCAACAGCTACAAAGCCAAGTGGCTTCCAGACGCTTAAACACATTCCATCACACTCCCACAGTGATTGGGTGGCCCCTTTTGTGGGGCACTAGCAGAGGAAATGGGATAAAGCTGGTTAACTGGAACCCTAGCAAGTAGCATGACTAAGCTAGAGGGCTGTGGAGTGGGGCCTGGGAGTTTGCTTTTCTGGTAATGCTGATTTCTAAGTAACGATAAAAATTTCAGTTCATACTTCACATCCTGGGGTGACCATGGGATGCCATGAGCTGTAGAAATGGCCTCTATCTGACTATGTCTGATCTAGATCTGTAGGAGGAGACTACGTAGAGCTATATAGTGGGTTTCCAGCTAGGTCAGACCAAGTGCAACTTGTCCAGGTGCTGGCTGAGTTTAAGCTTATTTTCCTAACTGGAGATTGCTTTCTAACCTCTGAAAGTGTTTCTTCATTAAGTTGTGTGTCAGTAGCTGTGAAAGAAAAGGCAAAGTTTTTCTTTGTAATCTCAGTATCACGTTTTGCTAGAGTTAACCAAGAGTTGTAGTTGCTACAAAAGTCAGTCACATTTGATGTCTGCTTTGCTTGTGGTTGGATTCCACTTTTTTGCAGGGGCAATGAGTGCTTAATTAGAACCTTGACAGTCTTGTTATGGAAAACATAGCCAATCACCAGCTGGCTTCCCAAACTTAGGCTGGGAGGTGATACACATAATTATATAGATTGCATCAGCCAGATGAAGACAGTATGATCATGGGATTGTAGAATGACAGTCCTCATTCTCTTCCCCAGAGTAGCTGCTATTTTTGAGCAGTAATACAGTCTGCCATATCTTTACCATTTTTCTTTTGTCTGCAAATCTATCTTGGCTACTAAAATGTGGATGGCACTACCACTTGTTTGATGTATTCAGTTGTAAACGTCCTAAAGGAGAGCCACATTGTACATAGGAAAACCTGGAGAGGTGAAGTTAACTTGCCTCAAGTCAGCCACTTAAGTTGTAGAATGAGAGTCAAACTTAGGTCTGCTCTTTCAAGATCACTGCTCACTGGAAGGGATTTTAGGCTTTGGTCAGAGAAGCAGATTATTACAATCTTGCTGATAATTTCTTGGCTGCTGTCCATACTTACTAGACTGGTTAGCCTCCCTTGCCATCAGGAAATGGGAATTGGAACTACTTTGAGATACTACCTCACCCCATTCTGAATGGCTACCATCAAGAAACCTAACATGAAGTGCTGGCAAGGATGTGGGGAAAGAGGAAACCGTTACAGCTTATGGGAGTGTGAACTAGTATTACCATATGATCCTGCTATACACCCAAAGGACTCCGTGCCCTGCCACGGCATACCTGCACGCCCATCGTTACTTCTGCTCTATTCTCCATAGCAAGGAAATGGACCCAACTTAGATGTCCTTCAACAGAGGGATGGATAATAATAAAAATGTGGTACACATACACAATGCAATTTTAATCAGCTGTAGAGAAAAATGAAACCAGGAAAATGAGTCGATCTGAAAAGCATTAAGTGAGGTGACCGAAACTCAGTTGCAAGTTCTAATACCTAGATCTGGCTTGTAATGTATAGATGTATGTATATGAATGGGTGTAACTGGATAAAGCCTTTAAAAGACACTTTTGAGACCAAGAGAGGGTAAAAAGATGCTGAGGAAGGGGAAAGGGATGGACAAGAATACGGATATGGCAGAAGGGAGCCTGCAGGGGAGTGGCCAAGGGAATAAAGCACAAGCTGAAAAAGCCATGATATCTAGTACCTTATGTGCCAATTAAAAAAAAAAACAACAAAAACTAGTTTTCTGCTGGACCTGAACCAGTGCTACATTAATGAGCCTAGACATCTGGGTCTGAAAGTTGTTAGGATTACTGTCCTTCATACTGGTTGAAATAATCAAGCCACAGTATACTTCCATTGTAACCCTGAGGCACACAAGGCAGAAAGCTACTAAAATTTGGAAACAGGTTTTAAATGGGCCAAAGGGACCTAAATGTTGGGTTTGATTCTGCCCATTTTTCTTTGTTAACACCCGGTTCAGGGTCTTTAGCAGCCCCTCCTTGCCCCATACTCCAGTAAGGTATACAAGTAAATCTGTCAGCATTTTGGGAGCAGTCTTAAGGCAACTAAATAGTTTTCAGCTTTTCCAAAGCCGTGATTACAGGATTCTTCTAGTCACACAGGTTTTCATCACTCCAATCAGCACAGTCTTGAATGCCATTTTTGCAGCGACTTCTGGGAATGCAGGCACAGTCGGCAAAGAAAACAGTATCACATCTCCAGCCTGAGCACTCTGGGCACTGTGAAACTAGACAGTTATATTTATTTTTAAAATCATAACCATTAAAATATCAATGTAGACTGGAAAGTATGCTATTGGATGAGAAATAGTCCTTTGGCTTTAAAAAAATTAGTGAACCCATCTCATGGGAAAACTGCAGATGATTATTGAAGATTCTACACATAGCTTGAAAAGTCAAGGGGCGTGTTAGCTCTCCCCATCAGCCCAAACTAAACACTGACATGCTACATAAACAGGGAAGGGTCCCTTTGAGTTTGTGTGTTCAGTCAGCAGGGGACAGAGTTGGTGTTTGCTGAATGGCAGCTAGCCAGAAGCAAAGCTTCCCTTTATACCTGCATCCCTTTGTACAAAGGGATTTGTCTCCATAACTCATAGGATGCATTTCCATTCTACCTCCACACCAGCAGACAAGGGCAGGGTCTGTCTGATGAAGCTTTTGAGAGCGAGTGCACTGAATGGTGTCTGCTGCATGGGTTTAGGGTAATCTAGCTTTGCCTTGTTTTGAGGAGGTGAGGGTGCTGCCTAGTGTTAAGCCATGTTGGGAATGTTGTGGTAGACGAGGATGAAAGTGAGGAAGAAAGGACAAAGATTAGCAACCAATATTTGAGAGCCAAAGCACTGATTAGACCTTTCTTAGATCTTTCAAAATTGCCAAACAAACCCAAATGAAATTTGATCTCCAAGAGCCTCTACAGACTTACGTCCTTGCAAAACTTACTTTATTTACTTCCTCCGGAGAACTCATCTACTTTAAATAGGCATAAGCTTTCTTTTTCTCCCCTTCCTTCTCATCTCCCTTCCTTCCCTTTGCCCCCCCGCCCACTTTTTTTTTTTTTTTTTTTTTTTTTCTTTGAGACAGTGTCTCACTATGCAGCCCTACCTGGCCTGGAACTTGCTATGTAGACCAGGCTGACCTAGAACTCAAAGAGATATGCCTACCTTTGTCTTCAAAGTGCTAGGATTAAAGTCGTGTGCCCCCATACTCCACCACTTTCTCTTTTTATTGGTCGTGGTGTTGGAAATGGAACCCAGGGCCCCTGGCCTACCTAAGCATGCCCTCTACCTCTACCTTGAAACCCTGGGAATGGTAGAATTTCTTAATTGTGGATGTATCTTTTAGGAAGATTACTGAGTTAATTTATGTAGTTGAAGTGTGGGGGCAGCCATTCCCAAGAACCCATTAAGAAATCAATTATATAACATCCATTTTTACCTGATTCATCTGAGCAGTCGCCACAGTCATTTCTTGTGTCACATGTCCTGTCCACATACGTCCATGTCTGCTGGTTGGGACACTTGAATATCAAGTTTTGTGGAAGACTGTTGGGCATTTGACCTATATCATACAAGGGTATTATTTCTAATGGAAATAATTATTCATGATCATGCTTGAATGTTAATTTGGAATTTTAGTTGTTAGCTACTAGTCACTATTCTTTGATTTTGGTCATTTGTCCACCTCACCACAATAGACAGGAGATTCATCCTCTCCATGGCTGCAGTCCACCCTGCTGTTGCAGAGCAGAGAGGGTGGCAAGCAAGTCATGAGGTCCTCACACAGGAAGCCTGGATGCCCAGAAGCAGTTGTGCATTGGTGGTACGGCAAGTCTGAAAGATTTCCAAGAAAACTGCTGAGCAGGTATCCGTGATTGCGGCCTCAGGCTTTCACACTACACGGTGTGGTGTGCCTCCTACCTCTGTGTGCCTCTTGCCTTTGCCCCTCTCCCTGATATTTCTTCCCTCTTTCTTTCTTTTTCTCATCCATACGCCAAAGCTCTTTAGGCCTAGGCCTGCTTAACTTGCTTGCCCCCTCCCAAAATAATTGGCATCTGGCAAACAAGAGTATACTTGTTCCTGGTTTCAAGGTAATAGCAGGTGACCGAGGGTCAACAGGCCTGGGCCCTGGTGTGAACTTTGCCATGGAT